ACATCACCCACCGAGTGTCGATTGGTCTAAAAAATATAGGTCTAGCCCTATGTACCCAATATGGAAGGGGTCATTTTACTTGTACTTCTAGGGACTGAAATGTGGCCATTGTTCAGCACTGTCACTGTTCAGTGCACAGAGAATAACAAATGGCTTGAGACGAGGAAATCAAGTATGATGATAAACTGAATGGTTTTAATCAAATAATGCCGTTTTCTTGTGACACATTGGATGTTGCCCAGGCGTACGCGAGTAGACGCCTGCCTGCTGATCCTTCCCTCAAAGTTCCCTACGATGTACTCCCGTTTTCTCCTTCTCATCACACGACCAAATAATGTAGACTGTCTCTTAGATTACACAGTGCGTGCAGTCAAATGCGCTCACTAGGGGAAAAAGAAACTGGGGGGGGGGGGGGGAACAGCAGCATTACTATCAGCAGTTATTATGTATTTGAAATGTCCTTTTTCTGGGTGCTGTGTCAGAACGGCCAGATCCAAAACTTGCTGTATCATTCTCTCCAGGCTGTAATGGTTACTATCTTCATTTTCCTTCTTCTTCGGGTGCACCGACTGTAAACTCCAGTGGAAAGTTCTAGTTGTTCGTCCACTTCTGGACTTCAGTCTAGTTCCAGAACTTGAATTTTACGTGCACACCCATTCTGCAGATCTGTCCTATTTTCATGCAGACTGTTGGTTCTTTAAGTCTCAGGCAGATGAATTCCGATTTCAAAGGAAACACCTTCAATGGGTTGACTTTTACTAATTTCTTGTTGCGGAGTGATGGGGCGTACATTATCCTCCCCCCCCCCCCCACAAGGGGCCCCGGGAGCCCAACATCATCATGTAGCAGATCCTTTGCAGAACGTCGCTCTCATCACTGTCTGCCTGAAAGAAACTCGGTCTCTCGCCAGCTCTCCCGCCTCGTGTGCTTATTCAAGGAGGGTGATACTATAATATGACCTAACATCCCCTAAAAACAGAATTTAAGGTTTTGCTCTTCTACTGTATTTGCCACAACTAAACAAGACTTTTAGAACAGCGAATGCGACAGGCATCTGGTTCGTTTTTTTTTTTTAAAGGGCCTCTATCCAGCAGCTTAATCTAGTGCCAGATGGAATGAAGTTGAAGAGTTAACCCGCGTTCTGCTTATCACAGAAGTCCAGAAATATCTTCCCTTCCTGCAGGTATGTAGTGCCAGCGCAGTGCAGGCGATGTTGTATAAAAGTTCACACGGGATGAACTTTTCCACAGAGATGCCGTTGTTGTGCCCGTTGAGCCGCGCCTACGCCGTAGATAACGGTAGCAACAGACTATTTGTGTGAGACTATTTCTGGATAATCTTTCCAGGAAAATACGTACAAAAATTTTACTTCAGGGTAAAGACCAACACCCACCCTCCTCCTCCCTAATGTGGAGACGGGAATTAGAAAGTGAAGTGAAAAGATTATGAAAACATGGGGCAAGCTATAAGCAGAGCCGGATCAAAAAGATTTTGATGCCCTCTACCCAGCACTTGAGAGATTTTGGTGCCCTCTGCCAAGCACTTAAGAGATTTTGGTGCCCTCTACCCAGCACTTAAGAGATTTTGGTGCCCTTTGCCAAGCACTTAAAAGATTTTGGTGCGTCCCTCTCCCCACCACTAACCTTTCCAGAGCATTATTAACACAGCATTGTGTGTCCCTGAGCAAACTAGTGTGCTGCGGCCCCTACGACAACCATCCATTCACATAAATGAAATATAAAGGTCACTTGACATACATAGATTAGCATGGGACCCGTATCCTTGTGAAGCCCCCAGGCAAGTGAACAGAGGGTCATTGTGTGTTAAGAATGCATTTAAAAAAAAAAGAATTAGTTGCATATGCTTTACAGGACGTTACAGAACCAACCCCAGCATTTTTTTTAGCTATTTTGATTTTTCTAGGCAAATTCTACGTTCAGTAGTTTGCTGTTGCCTTCTTATTGGTCAGCTGTCGGTACCATTGTCGAAACCAACGCAAGACAAACCGCCGCAGCTAGGATCGAAGCCGGCACTCCGGCATTACGAAGCTTGTTCTCAACGCCTGGGTCACAGACGCGGACAAGACGGCAATGGGGCCTGAGTGGTCTCGATGCATGGCGTCCGCCTCCAGTGCTGGAGGTCCTGCATTACGAAGCTTGTTCGCAACGCCTGAGTCACAGACGCGGACAAGACGGCAATGGGGCCTGAGTGGTCTCGATGCATGGCGTCCGCCTCCAGTACTGGAGGGCCTTTATTCAAGCTCCGGTAAAGGTTCAGATTTTTTCACGTGGTTTTCTGGTAATTTCACCCTGGTCTCTGTGTAGTCAGATCGGATGCCTGTATGTAATGTTGCACACGTAAAAAAAAAATCCCTTGACAGCTGGAAATCGAAAAGAGTAGCCTAACAGCGCTGTCCGTGCCAAATTTGGAGTTAAAAATCTACACAGAGTATTTCAGGATCTTTGCCAGTGCTACGTTGTCCGTGCACTGAGCTGAGAATTTTCAGACTGAGGCTTATGTTAGAGGTAGAACGGAAAACTTATGGGTTACTACTCTTGTTCTATGAGGGTAATCCGTTGTTTAAACCTCAAATGTGCTGATCGATGGATTTGTCCCTTCCTGGATGCTATCCGGAGGGTTTATCACCATGACATTGTGTTTAAACCTCATTATAGATGGCCGACCAAAAGTCAGATATCGGTTACCACGTGCAGCCTCTAGAGAAGTTATATTAGGGCCTCATAAGGACTAGACCAGCACCAGTAGTCCTGAGTAAGGAGAGGAATTTTACAGTGATTCAACCACACCCCCCCCCCTCCCCACCCCCCCCCCCCCTTTTCCTTTTAATTCTAAAAGTCATACATGGATCACTGGATTGTATTTGAGTATCTGCTGAGAGAAAAAAAACTTGAATTGTCGAGATGAAACCAGTCTCGCATGCCAACCTTTCCTTTTCCTGAATATATTAAAGTATTTCCTCTCTGCGTCAAAAAGTGGCCTTGCCCCACTTACCTATCTTCTGACATTCCTATATACATTAATACTCTAATACAGTGGTCGGCAAACTCTTTAGTCGAAAAAGACAAAAATCATCAGCAGGACGGTTAAGTTTTTTTGAGAGTCAAAATTTATTTTCAAGAACTTGTCAAGAACCATGTTTTTCGGAGTTAAAACCCGATTTGTGGTCGACTGGCCGAGCCGTACTCATGTCACTAAAGAGCCTCCCGCGGCTCGCGAGCCACTATTTTCCGACCACCGCGCTAATACACTATATTCTATTTCTCCCTCGTTCTTCGCTGATCAGCGTTAGTTTATCTTGGTATAAACTCACTGAATTTCATGTTTCTATTTTTTTTTTTATTGGTGTCTTTGGTCAGCTTGCTAATTTAAACTAATATTCATTTTGATTGACTTTTGGCACACCTGCCACCCGCAGAGTCGCATCTTGGATATCAGTCCAAAGGGACAGTTCTAGATACACCGTTTAACCTCATTAAACATTTTACTACATTTGGTGTTTCCAAATGTCCATGGCGAGTAGGGGTCGTAAATTAAATATTTATAGTCTATAGCTTCCAACTATATTTCCATTAAAGGAATTAACAAACATTAAACTGTTTTTATAAGTATAAATAATAAATGTGTAACCCAGAGACGATCCCCGTTGTAGATCATCGTAAAAACTGCAATTGTGCACTGATCGACGCAGTCAGAAAACGAGACAAATAGCGTAATAACAGTCGCCATGGAGACCGACAAGCAAAAGCACTGACAGCCTTCCAGAAACTTTTTTCAGTGTTTCTGCAAGCCATTATAAGATACTTTGTGTACGTTGAAGGTGGTGGCAATCATTATTGGTGAATTGGATCTTGGCATCAGAAAAACTAGATTCTGTTCCGCCTGTTGGTGTCAAGGTTATGCTGCCCTTTCGGTTGGGTGCTGTGTTCAGGAAGGAAGGATTTCGCAGTCATCATACTGCTAACATTCTGACAAGCAGTAACTAAAATCCAATCTTCGTAACGTTGAAGAACCGTTTCCTAATACACCACGGTTTCCGCTTCCGTTTTGCCCCAAGCAAATATTTATCAATGAATAGGAAGGTGGATAAGAGAAAAACCGATGCCCTTGATAACAGTGACAGGAACGGCAGTAGCCGTGCAACGGACCAATCAGATTGTGGCTCCTCCCGTAAGCACTTGTTTTAAGAGTTTCGCCACAAGGATAAAGTTATATTTATTTTCTCGCGCGCCTTGTAAGACTTACCTTCCTCGGATACAGGATTATATTTATATTGCCGTCATTTGTTTTAATTCAGTTGAATAACATTATACCTTGTCGATTTCGATGACAACAATTTGCCAGTTTTGCCTGGTAATTTCTTATTTTAATCTGAAAATGCAATGTGGAAGTCGATGAAAGGATTTTGATTGTTACAGACTCGCGCAAATATTTATCATTGACTTGAATTCGTGACCGGGAACATTTCTAGAATTTAAATGCAAGTTCAGCTTTATAAAGCAAATATCCAATCAGAAACATATCTTTATGAGTAAAGCATACATGTTAACACTTGTATATACTCATTTTTTACTGGTACAGTTATGTACATATAGCAGAAAAAGTGAGATTCGTATACACCAGTCTCTTACAGCTTATAACGAACCAAACAAATGAAAAATAAATTTTTTCTGTAATGAAGTGTGGACCAATGTTTATCTTTACATGTTGATCTGTCAGAGTTCATCATCAGCGTGTTGGACAAAACGTGGGAAGATTCACAGTCAGCAACTATCATATAGACAACACCTAATATACTGACTGACCTCTTTAGCATGTACTATTACGTTTAAAATAAGAAATAAACAGAAAACAGGTCCTCGCTCAAGCATTAATTCTTTACGCAAGATTTCTTTAACGGCTAATAGCTTACCCAAGAACTTGGTTACCTCGTCTTCTTCATAAATCATCTTAATCTGTTTGCCGAATAAGAACCAGCAAACATGGAGAACACCTCTAGTGTCACATCAAACATCACTCACATTGAAGGTTCCCTGCCTGACTACGTCCAAAGAACCATGTTTGTTTGCGATCACGTGTTGATTCCAATCATTTGCATGCTGGGTATAGTTGGAAACGGACTCAGTTTGTGCGTTCTGACTCGAAGAGAAATGGCGGCTGCCACCACGTGTTTTCTTACGGCATTGGCAGTCTCTGACTTGCTGCTTCTGATCCTACAGATTCCATTCTTCTTCGAACTGAACGGAGCCATTGCTGGTAGCTTCTCTTTCAAGCGTTTTATTCGGATGTACGCCGTAATTCGGTAAGACTGTTGTTTGTTACTATTACCCGTCTGTCACTGTCACTGCTGTCTGTATTTACTCGTTTTTAGATGGTGTAGACAGATTGGTCGTGAGCCTGAGGGTTTAGGGCCACTTGGTTAGTGTTGTCACTAGGGTGTTTCTTTTGCCCCCGACAGAAAGACAGCTATCACCTCACAGGGGGCTGAACTCGGGTCTCCTGCACGAGACTCCGACGCTGTATATTAGGGTAATATAAACGCATAAGACCATCTCAGTCAGCACAAAGTAAAATCTAATTCAAAGCATATTCATTCCCATTCTATGCTACAAGTGTCATACATGGTCACTTACAACAAACCAGAAGGCCGGAGGAGTGACCAGACGAGATAAAATCGAGAATGGTGGTCATAAGAGAACAAAGTCGGCACACAATTAGTTCTAAATTACACACAAAGACCGCAAATCAGATGGTTTGCCCACATAGATAGAGTGCTTTGTGAAGCCCTGCTATACACAGTATACACCAAAATAAAAGAAGGGTGTAGAGCACAAGGCAGACTAAGAACAAAATGGAAAGATAACATCCATGAAATTCTACAACAGCACGACGTGTCTATGGATGAGGCGACTAAAATAGCAAGAAGCAGCACCTTATGCTTTCCCCGACACCCAAAGCGGTAAAAGCGGAAAAGAAGAAGAACTATTCGATTGTTATTTATGTTACTTTATCTCCAGGAATTGCTACTTGAAAGATGTCACGTAGTGCCTCAAAGAGTCAAATTTTAAATGCCAATCTGACGGAAGCAAATTTCTGCCTGAAAGAATGACACTAATGACTGAATGAATCACTTTTGAAATGCCGTTAAAAAAAAACACACACAATTAGGCTGGGACGATCTACGATTACAGATACCTAATGTGGTTAGTGTAAAGTAGCTTTTTTGGGTGATTTAAATTATTGCAATAAACAGGACCTATACTTCAAAATAATCTAGGTGTAGGTCAGAAGACACCAGAAAGCAACCCGCCCAAAAAAAAAAAAATTTAAATTACTAATAATCTACAAATATTCCATGGTACTTGTGCAGAATTTACCGAATTAAATAATTAAAAGATATGACAGAATGAACAATATAGTGGGCGAACTGTACACATTCCAGTGAATCCGAAGTGAGAAACAGATGTTGTTGGATAATTGGGTTACACAGTTAGAAGCGATGATAACAATATAACTGTATTGAGTGTTCTTCTACTGAAATACCCACATGGCCCAAGGCATTTAAACAGGGGGACAACGTACATAGAAGATAGAGACTGAATGACAAAGAACAGTAGAACATGTGGTGAGCTGGCGCGATAACTAAGAATGGCATACCTAGGCGCGGGTTAAATTAGGACCTATGCTCTACGACAGGGCTATTCAACTGATGGCCCGCGGGTCACATGAGGCCCGCGGAGGTCTGGCAAATGGGCCGCTGGTCTTTGGCAATTACAGTAGAACCTCGCTTAACGAGCACCTCTCATAGCGAGTAATTCGCATAACGAGCAAAACAAATTGTAAAAGAATGACTTGCTCAACGAGCAACGTTTCGCTTAACGAGTGGCGAGGGTAGGGGTATACTAAATTAATTTTCAGGAAGATAATTAGGAAATAGTTTTTTTTTTTTTTTTTTTATTTAGTATGTGTGAAAAGTTTAATAAACCCTTGCAAAAATGTCCCCGAAGAAAAAGCCGCAAGAAAACAGCCATAAGAGAGTAAAAATAACCATAGAAATGAAACATCAAATCATTGAAAAGCGGGAACGAGGTGTAAGAGTGGCTGATCTAGCTCGCCCATACAATCGGTCTACATCAACGATTTGCACTATCCTCAAGAACAAGGACAAGATAAGGGAGATAGATGCTTCACAGGGAGTGACAAGATATTTGCGCAACGGTTACGTATTCTCAACGATGTTGAAAAGTTGCTTCTCATATGGATGAATGAAAAGCAATTGCAAGGTGGCCCTTTTAACGAGAACATCATTTAGGAGAAGGCGAAAATGATTTTCGCCGACCTCGTTTAGAAGACACCAGGATCATCAACGGACAAAGAAAAAAGTATTTAAGGGAAGCCGTGGGTTGTTCGAGAAGTTCAAGAAAGGAACCAGCATCCACAGCGTTGTGAGGCACGGTGAAGCAGCAAGTTCCGACACGAAAGCAGCAGAGAACTGCATCGGGGATTTCAAGAAGCTCGAAGAATCTGAAGGTTACATGCCGCAACAGGTTTTTGATTGTGACGAAACAGGTCTCTTCTGGGGAAAGATGCCGAAGCGAACATATATAACAGCGGAGGAGAATGCATTGCCCGGCCACAAGTCAAAGACCGTCTCGCGTTGCTATTTTGTGCCAATGTAAGCGACGATTTGAAAATTAAACCGCTGCTTGTTTACCATTCAGGAACTCCACGAGCCTTTAATAAATGCAAAATCCAGAAGAGCAGGCTAAATGTGATGTGGAGGTCCAACAGGAAGGCTTGGGGGACACGTGACATTTTTACTGAGTGGATGAAGGAAGTGTTTGGTCCTTCTTGAAAAAAAATATTTCCTTGAGATGAATCTGCCACTCCATGTCTTGCTTGTTATGGATACCGCTCCTTTCCATCCTCCAGGCCTACAAGATGACCTCCCTGAAGAATGTAAGTTCATCAAGATCCAGTTTCTGCCTCCCAAAACCACTCCGTTACTCCAGCCCATGGACCAGCAAGTTATTTCTAACTTTAAGAAGCTCTATACTAAAGCACTCTTCAAGCATTGTTTTCAGGTGACTTAAGGGACCAACCTCACTCTCAGAGAGTTTAGCAAAAATCACTTCCACATCGTTGCCTGCTTCAAGATGATCGATAATGCGTGGGAAGGGGTTACCAAGAGGACCCTAACTTCTGCTTGGGAGAAGCTTTGGCCGGAGCGCGTTGTCGAATGTGACTTTGAGGGGTTCAAGACAGTAACTGTGAAACCTGTAGTCAACGAGATATGTCTTTGGCCACTATCATGGGATTGGAGGTGGATAACAGTCATATCGAAGAGCTTGTGGAAAAGCACAACCAAGAGATGACCACCGAAGAGCTTATGGAGTTGCATTGTGTTTCACAGCAAGAAATGTTGAAGGAAAGTTTGTCAGAGAATGAGGAGGAGGTAACAGAAAAGCAACAATCTTCTCGCGAAATAAGAGAAATTCTGAAAGCATGGGAAACTATCGCATCTTACATTGAGAAGGAACACCCTAGAAAAGAAGTGGTTTTGCGCGCTGCAAATTTATTAGATGATAATGATATGACGCATTTTCGCCAAATTTTGAAGCGTCGGCTAAATTAAATGTGTCTGGACATCTTTCTAGTTAAAAATAAGTAGGTATGTATCATAGTTATTTCGATTTTGAAATCGAATTCGTATTCCAAGTGGGTTCGTTCCGCAGTGGAAGAGAAGATGAAGATGATTCATGACTGACTGACTGACTGATGTTCTACCTCACCAGGAAATAACACAAGCGATAAACACCCGATGACACAAAGTGCTACCATGTGGATGAGGATCACCGTGGAGAGGTCCCAGAAACCGCGTTCAGACAATTGGCCATATTTATGGCCTGCCTATATTGCGGGCCCCTGGCAAAAGTCAGAGTGGGGCTTCAAAAAAAACAAAAAAATTACGTCCTAAAAAGGACGTAAAGATATAATACCGTTAAGAAGATGATTCATTCTGCTTAACAATATGTAGATAATTTTCTTTGAATAAACGTTATACATAACATTTTGTGAGTATTTTTTTGACATAGAACGCATTATCGTATTTTACGTTAATTTATATGAGAAAAAATAGTTTCGTATAACGAGTCTTTCGCTTTACAAATAGGATTCTGGAAAGAATTACGCTCGTTAGGCGAGGTTCCAATGTATATTGTTTTCATGATTTTTTTATGAAGAAGAAAAACCATCAGGGCAATAGAAATGTTACAGAAAAATTCTTAAGATGCCAAGAAAGGGAAAAACATCAACATCTCACATGATCTGAGCATCAAGGAGAACTGGCTCATAAACAGCATCCTATCCCGAAAGCTAAGGTATTCTAGCCAAGATAAACGTCACGACTACCTTACCCCTGTGTGGGTTCCGGAGCCCCATTGTGGGGAAAACAAGAATAGATGCACTGCCTCCCCAAAAGCATGTCGTAAGAGTCGACTAATTGGGGAAATTCCTTTGAAGTCGGAGTGCATCTGCCGGAGAGGCAAGGAACTAACAGTCTGTATTCAAGAGAATGAGATCTGTAACTGATGCACACGCAACACTCAAGTTCTGGAGCAGGACTGCAGTTCAGTAGTGGACGAGCAACCAGAACCTTCCGCTAGAGTTTACAGCTGGTGAACGCGAAGAAGAAGAAGAAGAAGAAACATTTGTTTCTAAATTTCATATTATTTTTAATATATTACCATATTTATTTGCCAGTTAGCCCGAAGAATTATTACTTATTATTATTATTGCACAAACCCCTTTATAGATTTGTTAGATGGCACTCAGGGTACTCAGGTTTGCTTAAGTAAGTTATAATAATAAATAAAAATTGCTCAGTAAGAAATAAATATAATATTCTGTTTAAAATGATATGAAATACAACTCCACAAAAAAGTTATTTTTATACAGAGAACTTTCACGCATTGCTGGAACTTAGCTGTTCCAATAAATTTTGTTTTTTTTGTTTTTTTGTTTGTTTGTTCTGGAAGGGGAGAGGGGGTGTTTAAGGAGCCCACGTTTCTAAGCTCTGGCGACCCTGTTGCTAGCCATGTACAGTATCAGGCCGACCATAGATGAGAACATTTCCTGATGAGAATCTTAGGTTGGATCGACATAAGACCTTATCTAAATAACAAAAACCTTGTGTTCAGTTAAAAGTGAATTACACATCCTTTACAGGACGTTGCAGAACCAGCCCCGGCAATTATACGTTCAGTAGTTTCCCATTGTTAAGTAAACGGTCAGCTGGCAAAACCCTACCCTGGTTGAAATCAACGTTAGGCGATCTGTTGTCAAATCGCCCGCAGCTGGAATTCAACATGTCTTAAGAATAGCTGGAATTCAACATGTCTTAAGAATAACCAAGCTTGTTCCTGACGCCTAAGTTAAGACGCGGACTCTATACATGCTCAGAAGGGATTGAAATACACGACCACTCGGCTGAAAGACTCGCTTTCTGGCGACCCCGACTTTCATAAGTGGAGGAATGTTGAATTAAGAATCAACATCACAACACTCAGGACACACCCGTAAGCGCCCCGTCCCCATCTTCAACAGCAAGCGAAGAGTTCAAATTGCATGGTACCAGTCATTGTCTGTTTGTACATCCGTCTGGCCTTTCCCTTGAGTATTGAGCGTCTGCCAGATCCCATGGTAACTCCTCGCGGGGCCATTCTCCTCAGACCGTAATGATCTGTTTGTACCTCCGCACTATTCACTAGCTCCCAAAGAGCCCTCACAACATATAGCTTGCTATACATTATTTCACCACCAAGTGGTCTATCTGCCTGCTAGCTTCCCAACACACCACGATAAGCTGGAGAAAATATCCAACGGACGCTAACTGCCCGGGATCTCTGAAGCGATGCTTGCCACCCTGCACGGAGCATGCCTGTCTCTAACTTTCTCAACAATCACATGAGTGGCAGGAGTAAACTTAACAGAACACTCGTCGTTACTAATTAAAAAAAAGTGTTTTCAAGTGTCTTCACCCTGAAAGCGATGTATAGGTTTGTAATATAATGAAGCGCTGAAACAAAGAAAATGTAAAGTTAGGGAAAGCCTAGGCTCCCTTATAAATGTTTATTGGAGCAGGGACCTGAAGGTCAAGGTCAAGTGCGCAATAATAATAATAATAATAATTGTTGCTGTTGTTGTAATTATTATTAGTATTGCTGAGCGGGAATAAATATGATAATATGTTTGAAATAATATAAAATCTATAACAAACACTAAGAAAACAGCTTCTATAAATGAACCTTGTGCAAAAATGTGCAGGGCGAGGGCAGAGGGAGGCTCCAACCACTAGTGAATACTATTAGGAAGAATAATTATTCTAAACATAAAACTATGTTTTTCAGGGCTCAAGATGTCTGAGCTCCTAGGTTATGCCGCCTCTTAAACGCCTTTTAAACACAAAGATATATATATATAAAATCCAGGAAGTGCCAAATTTTTTTTTCTATTATAGGGTTTATAAGCCATGGCACTTGTTTATTTCCTAAGGGATTTATGAAAAGGTAAACATGAATGAGTATTTTACAACTACATTAGTAAATTACGAAATGCATGTTGGCTTCTTTAACTAGCTGTTTAACCTCTCCTGGCTGCTACCTGAAGGTTTGATACCCCTATTGTTTGATTAACTGCATACTTTTATTCCAACGGGACAAACCCACATAAACGGCTCAACTTCCTCCAACTAATTCTCCTCATTAACGTCGTCTGTCGTGTCTTTTACAGATTGTCGCTGTCATCACTGCCCGTCAAAAAGCAACTGTCTCCAGTCAATTGTCCCACCTCATTTGCTTTCATGGTCAGGGTGTCTTTGATATTCTGTTCAACCTCCGAGAAGGTTGTAATTGTGCCTTGACAACGGCTACATCAGGCACTACAATGGCATCTTCTGCTGTCCTGGGTGGTCATTCCTATAAATAAACAGAGGGGGGAACCATTTGAGGCCGTTAAATATTATGTATTAATCAAGTAACAGAAAGTATTGTGAACGGCACTCATAGAAAGAAGTAGAAAGATAGAAGAACACACTAGACAACATAAATATCGAAAGCTATAGTTACCGTGCCGGGAATTGAACCTGTCACCTCCAGACGGCGTCTGCGCCTCGCCATGAATACAAGTGCACTAAGATACATGGTCAACTAGGCACCCCCAAAAAAAGGTGTCTCATTGGCCATGTCTATCGTACAGCTTGAAATCCACGACTATGGAATACGGACAGAATTCATTTCAACCCATTGAAATGGCACCATAGGTTACAGAAATTTATATTAACGAAGCAAATGTCGAATAACAATCACAGCAACAATTTTACGAACACAGTAAGACCTTATTGCTTTGTCTAGAATACACAAACATTTAAGAAAGGTATTTGATTGGTAGGTTCCGGTGTGTATACGTCATTCCTATAAATAAACAGAGGGGGGAACCATTTGAGGCCGTTAAATATTATGTATTAATCAAGTAACAGAAAGTATTGTGAACGGCACTCATAGAAAGAAGTAGAAAGATAGAAGAACACACTAGACAACATAAATATCGAAAGCTATAGTTACCGTGCCGGGAATTGAACCTGTCACCTCCAGACGGCGTCTGCGCCTCGCCATGAATACAAGTGCACTAAGATACATGGTCAACTAGGCACCCCCAAAAAAAGGTGTCTCATTGGCCATGTCTATCGTACAGCTTGAAATCCACGACTATGGAATACGGACAGAATTCATTTCAACCCATTGAAATGGCACCATAGGTTACAGAAATTTATATTAACGAAGCAAATGTCGAATAACAATCACAGCAACAATTTTACGAACACAGTAAGACCTTATTGCTTTGTCTAGAATACACAAACATTTAAGAAAGGTATTTGATTGGTAGGTTCCGGTGTGTATACGTCATTCCTATAAATAAACAGAGGGGGGAACCATTTGAGGCCGTTAAATATTATGTATTAATCAAGTAACAGAAAGTATTGTGAACGGCACTCATAGAAAGAAGTAGAAAGATAGAAGAACACACTTCTATCTTTCTACTTCTTTCTATGAGTGCCGTTCACAATACTTTCTGTTACTTGTCCTGGGTGGGTAGATTATTAATGTTCCAATGGTTTCTAAGTTTTCAGAAGTCAATGGGCGAGTGGTTACAATACTTGCATCCCGAATCTGAAACCGAATTCTAGCTAAGAATTTCACAGATTTGTGTCTACTGTCATATTTTGGAAAATGCTGTAGCGCAAATGGGAGCTTGATTGCCAAAAAAAAAAAAAAAACTTTTAACGAAACATTATTATAAATAAGATAGTCTGTGCACTAAACAGCGAAAGTCGCCACATACGATCATTTTACAAACCCTAATAAAGAATGTCAGAAATGGTGAATAAACTTAGCCATTAATTAATTTATTTATTTGGTGCTTAAAATATTATATTTAACAAGGTAGCATACACTCCCTCAATACTTGACCCTGCGAGGGACTGGTTATTGGCGGCCGACCTGCCTGGTTTAGAAAAGTACCCAGAGTCAATCCGACAGACTGGCCTGAGACCACCATGGTTCTGCGCTCTGTGAAAAAACGTCAGTCATCCTGACAGAGCTTAGCGTACCGTACGAGCTGTGGATGGAGACAAATAAACTATGCAAGCTCGACAAATATATTGACATGGTGGTTGATCTGAGAAGAGATAAAGCCTACATAGTAAAAACTTCGTCGATGAGGTAGGCACAAGAGGGATGATCTCCGCCTCCACATGCAGTGTACTGAAGCAGGTGGGCTTGAGAGGAAAAGAACGTAAACGGGTACAAAAACGACAGTCGAAGCGGCCGAAAGGGCTTCGAGCTGGCTGTGGACGCAACGGAACGTCGTGGGGAATAGGCCTCCGTAGGCTGGTTCGAGCCTCTAGTGGAAAAGAGCTTTTCATCCCTTAAAGCTAAAGAGACCGATAAAATGGCTGCCAATATCTCTCTGCCGATTGCCAAAGTCTAACACCTGTCCGATGAACCAACTGTAAGCTTGTCACTCTGGTTGTGAAGGTAGTCAGCTTAATTTGCTACCGCAGCGACAGTATATAAGACACAATCTCACAATACCTATTGCAAAGCCAAAATTTTCGTCTTGTCCCTGTCTGAACGTCCGAAAAAGTGCAGCAGGAAATGTCCGGGGCCTGGCTTTGTGACCCAGGTCGGTCCACCCTTCCGAGATTGCCTAGAAAGTTAATGGGCCGAAACAATCGTAGACGAAGGAACTTTCTACTGTTAATCAGTGGACTCCTGCTGTTCATGATACACTGTGGATTTCTTCTTATCTTATAACAAAGACGATTTGTAGTCAGGCATACAAATAGGTTTTTAAAAAATTGCGCAACTTTAGTGTGACGTTGCAGAACTAACCATAACAATTTTGACTGTTTCTGATTCTCGCTGGGTAATTTTATGTTCAGTAGGTTGCCATTGTTTTCTAAACGGTCGGTTCTCGATACCACCTATAGAAACTAGCGTAAGACGGGCTGCAGCTTAATCGCCGCAGCTTGGATCAAACTCGGCACCCTGGAATTTCGAAGCCTGTTTGCAACTCCTAAGCCACAAACCCCCGTTAAATATTAGATCTTACTGTAAATTGTGATCTTCTATGATAAAACCTATTTATGAACTTATAAGATGAACCTATCTATGATTTATATTCCATACTTGTTGCTCCATTAAATCCCTCTGATTCTGGGGTTTAGATATTTCTTTCGTGACCAAATACGATTTTACATTGGTTAGTATATAGTCCTTGCTCCAGCTCCCAACCATGAGGAACAGTGTGTCTCTATTTTCTTTTGTTCTCCGCCCTTCGACCTGTCTAGTTGGAGATAATTTTTTCACCAAAGGTGTTAGGGTTAGGGTGGATATGGATAGACGAATTTAATCGTTTAGTACGGTATATGTAGATGCTGTCTATCCATATCCATCGTCAATATTATAGCCTGCCTATCGCTGTTTTATGCCTTCTAACATTACATATTTCTTCTTTCAGATATGTCATGAACAACGTCTTCATAACCTGCACTGGCTGGCTGACTGTAGCAGTGACCATCGAGAGATTCATCTCCTTACGCTTCATGTTCCATCCCAAACTGGTCTGCACTATATTCCGAGCCCGCCTGGCAATAATCGGTATCTTCATTGCCTCGTTCATCTTCCATTTTTCTAAATTTTTTGAGTATATACCAAATCAAAATCTGCACTCGCCGCGCCCACTACTCATCACAGAGCTGATTAAAACGCCGGAATACGAAACTTACCTCCATATTGCCAACATCGCTTTAGCCGCCATTATCCCCGTATTTCTACTCATCATCGCTAACTCGTTCCTCATGTACTTCTTGGCTACACACCGGCGTCGTATGCTGCGTCACAAAGCATCATCAACCTCCAACATGACTTCGGTGGATATGCTTCACGTCAGCGCTATAGTCGTGGCAACGGTTCTCGTCTTTATCCTATGTCATTCTGTTGGTGTTTTCCTAGCTCTTACCATAGCTTCCAGAGGAAGGGAGTTTGTGTTCAAGCGACCACCATATCTGGCACTGAAACACATCAACACATTGCTCATTATGATCAACTCCAGTGTCAACTTCTTGCTGTACTGCGCCATCAGCTGCAAATTTCGCAAAACGTTCATAATCGTATTCATAGGTCAGTTGATTCGAAGAGACAACTGCACGTCCGCCATACCACTCAGTGAAAACAGCACTGCCAATACAGGAACGATCCCTAGAACACCTAAAGGCAGGATTTACACACCTTCACCCAAGGCTGCTATTGCTAACGGCTCTTCTCAGAATGGCCACAATGTCGCAAGAACGGAGGTGTAGATAGTCCCAACCAAGCTAACATATAGAAAGGAATCTAAAACACACACAAAAGGTATACACGCAGACTATAGACAGAAAAAAACGTCTGGAAAGGCAAAGCAAGAATTGTGTTAGGAAGCGTGACGAAAATTTCATTGAAGACGAAACAGGTTATAATCTTTAGACACAGTACATGAGACTCTCGGGCGGGATGAACATTTCATAAGACTACAACAGAAACCAGTAGTGCGGGAACATTGTGTCATCTGCTGTATTTGGGGACGGTGTGTTTTGTGACCACACAAAAAGATCTACCAGTCTTTCCAAAATCATACTACAAGACACAGTATAAGATAACAAGAGACGAAGCAGGTTAAGAAATACCTTGATTTCAAATATAACCTTATAGACGGGCCTCAATAACGAAAACATTAAACTATGCTCAGCTGATCGTCAGAAATGGAAAGACCTCACCAAACAGTCACCAATACTTCGATGACCCTAAAACATAGTGTTGTGACAATAGAATGCAGCGTTTTGTACATTTTAATAGCAGTCCTACAACAAAAATACGTAGCAGTGCAACATCACGAAGAAAATACTGGTCTTGCAGAACATAACTGTCCTAATAATTTATCCGCCACTGTATGTGTAACTTATTTATCCGTCCTGCTTGTTTAAACAAATTTTCAAGATGGACCATGACGATACTTTTACTGACGCCAAAGCTAACAAGAGCACGGATGTGTTTCATAATGTTTTTGACAAGCTCAGGGTTAGAAAGTAAACAGTGCAGAAACAATTGTGTCATTGAAACTGCAGACAAAAGTCTGTCGCGTTTGGTTTGCTATATTCAGTGAGCTAACTATGTGTTGAATGATTGGTTCAGGAAGCGACAAATAAGATGAGACCAACTTCTTATCAAATATTCCAAGCTTAACTGCAGTCATCAAACTATGAATAGGGTGCACGTAAGAATTCAGAGTAACTGCTAGAGCTTAAGATGTCAATGCAACTATTAGAACATAAGAAACGTGTTTATCGTCTTACGCTGGCGCATAGAGTTGGTCACTATCAAAGAGTGCATTGCTTTCTGTTCCGCATGCCATGCAAAGGCACCCGTGACAGCTGCTAATGTGCATGTCACTACGACTGGAATTAGTAGACAGCATCCAGGAGTCCCGCCTCAACAAACTATCTTTGCTGTACACACCAGAATACACCGGGGTGAAAGGAAAGGAAAGAGCCGACACTGGGTGTGTTTGCAGTAGTTAGCGGAAAAGGAAGTCTGGATAGGGCAGGCTGAGTGTGCTGCAATCCAGAAACGTTGGAAATGGGTATCAAACTAGAACAAGCTGGCTTGAGAATTAGCTGCATACACATGTCGTAACTGTAAGTAACTCACAGAGTATGTTGAGAAAAGGTGCAGACAGGCATGTTCCGTGCAGACTTGCAAGCATCGCTTCAAAGGTCCTGCATAGTTAGCGTCCTTTGGATTTTTTCTGCAGGTCATGCCGCTGTGTTGGGAAACAAGAAAAGGCAGATAGTCTGGTCGGTGTTGCACCACTTGGTGGTGAATTGATGTATGACAAGCTAAATGATGTGAGGGTCCTTCGGGAGCGAATGAACAGTGGGGAGGCACAAATATATGAATACGGTCTGAGGAGAAGAGCGCTGCGAGGAGATACCAGGGGATCTGGCCGACTCTGAACAGTCAAGGGAAAGACGAGCCGGATATACAATCTGACAGTTACTGGTGCCATCGGAATTGGAACTTTTCGCTTGCTGCTGAAGATATGGACGAGCGCTTATGGGAGTGTCCCGAGTGCGGTGATGTCGATTCATAATTCAACATGCAACAACATCAAGCATACAGAAACCGCTTGTAGGGCAAAGAAAGAAGATATACCAGTCAACTCCTAATAGGTACAGTGAGCATGAAGACACTGAGATTGCTGTGGTATCGGAGGACGGAGCACTATTAACAAGCATAAGAAACAGCTGAAAGAAAGCAGTCAGATGTTGAGTAACTAACCAATATTTTTCAAGAACAAGTTAAAACACGGTACAAATGTTTCTTTCGGTTACTTTGCAGGGAACTGTAAAAACTGAAATGTATATAAATGTTAAATGGTGTACATACTTGGGCATGTAATGTACACTGTAATCCTCTTTAGCGACATGAGTCATGGTAAATAATCTAATGGAACAAAAACAAAGTGTACTGTTTTCGCTCATCGACTGTGACATTTGCTTGTATTAAAAAAAAAAAAAAACATTAGCGGGGGAGTGGCATTAGAAAGGGTAAAAGAAACTTAAACATAACCTTTGACCCATTAGGATCGTGGAGGTGCATTGATGAAATCACTAGCACATAAAACCCGTCTTTTGCTTGACGAATAAGTGTATTATAACTTAGTCCTGTCCATTTCTTGATGTTTTTATAACAGATTCTTCTTTGCCCTCCTTTTCTTCGACTACCCCGCCCCCTCCACCCCCCCCCTCCCCCGCCCAAATGTTCCTTAAAGTAAAGTCTTTGCAATTGAATCATGTCTCATTACGCGCATAAACTAAGCTAGCTTGCGACGTTTCACCAAAAAGAGCCGCTTGATGTCCCGCAATTTTGTATATAGTTTCTTGTATATTCAGTATGTATATTATGCTTTGTTTTTATTTGTTGTGTAGTCTTATTTTGCTTCCAGACGAAATGACACGCGTGTTTAAGCAGCTTACGCACACCCTTTCCGACGTAAGTGCTTCATTAGCATGTACTGCTATATGGTATTTGTTTTCTCCCCAAATGAGGTTGGTTAGAGCAAATATCCATATACACAGCTGTTCTTAAAAATCGTTCACCACCTTTCACTGTTTGAAAGCCATGAGACTTGTCTTCTGCAAATCCGCTGGTCGAGAAAATCAAACTATACTATGCTCACGATTGTGAAAGGCGTTTACCAAACTCTGAGCTACAGAATAACAGAAGGTCCAATCTTTAATTTCCTTCTTCTTCTAAAGATCATTGTGGGGTTGATAAACAGGACAGGTCTATCCCAGTCTGTTCTCGGGAGCACTGCCAATTATTTTTGGTACAGATGTTCTTCCGTGCCAAACTGGCCGAATACTTCGCTCTTGGTGTCCCTCTATCTCTCTTGCCCTTTAACTTTCCAGTTGTCACAACGTCTTCCTGTGTCCCCCTTTCCAGTGATGAACAAAAAATTAAGATTGTCGTTTTTCCGATGCAGTCAATCAGTTTTCTTCAGTAGTTAGATGCTGTTTATTTCTAAATATATTTTCCCAATATACCCGATTTGTAAAACTGATGTGCACGGGAAATTTAAATTCAGAAACAAAACAAATATCCATGATTGATTGATTGATTTGATTCAAGAACCGACATCACATCACTCGGGGCATTTCCATAAGCGCCCCGTCCCCATCTTCAGCAGTTAGCGAAGAGTTCCGATACTAATGATGCCAGTAGCATTCTGATTAAACGTCCGTCTTGCCTTTCCTCTTAGCTTCGAGCATCTGCCACAACCTCTCATCACTCCAAGCTGCATCAATCTCACCACACTGTGGTGATCAATCTGCTCCTCCGAACTGTACAAGCTCTCTCACAGGGCACTAACCATGTCTGCCTCTTAGCTTCGAGCATCTGCCACAACCTCTCGTCACTCCAAACTGCATCAATCTCACCACACTGTGGTGATCAATCTGCTCCTCCGAACTGTACAAGCTCTCTCACAAGGCATTTACCATGTCTGCCTCATCGTGCATCAGTATTCTACCAATGTCCAAAGTGGGCTAAATAAAACAAGACCAAAGTCCAAACTGGACGAACAACCAGAACTTTCTATAGGAGACTGTCGATGAACGCTAAAAAGAAGAATAAATCGTCATTAACTTTAAATCTGTCCCTCGTGTTCTCACCATTCTTCTATAAAGCCATATCTAGGCGACTTCCACATAATGGTTTCCACTAATGAGTTGATTGCGGCTCTGTGGGTAATTTGATGTGAACGCTTCGTAATGCCGGGGTGGCGGGTTCGATCCAGCTGCGGGCCACGCGGCTTGCGTTGGTTTCGACAGTAGTATCGTAGCAATAGCAAACTACTGGACGTAAATTTGCCTAAAGACACCACACAACAGCCATTGGCTGCTGGGGTTGGTTCTGCAACGTCCTGTAAAGGATACGCAACTAACCAACCAATTAGTTGATTGCCCATGATTCACTCGCATGAATGACAAATACAGTATTTAACTGGTGCAATGCAGTCAACGTGTGCTGCTATTAATCATATGTGTTCAATAGATTGTTGTCTGTTAATCACATTTGTATTATTTATCTCCACTCTTCATAAATTCAAAACAAGAGAAAGAGAGAGAGAGAGAGAGAGAGAGAGAGAGAGAGAGAGAGAGAGAGAGAGAAGGAGGGAGAATACAGTGATGGTTTAACCCGATAATTTAAATGGGAAAAGAATACTAAACTGATTCGTGTTTCAGGTGATCTTATGATATTGAAAACAGGACGTATAAATTTGAATAAACTTCTCTCTCTCTCTCTCTCTCTCTCTCTCTCTCTCTCTCTCTCTCTCTCTCTCTATCTATCTATCTCTCTCTCTCTCTCTCTCTCTCTCTCTCTCTCTCTCTCTCTCTCTCTCTCTCTCATCGCCCTTAGAGGCAATGCCGCCTTGGAAAGTATACCAATGAGTATATGGGGAGAATTAGACGGACAGTAGTTCTGTAATCACCCATTCATCAATATCACCATGTGTTTGTCAATAAAGAGACTGAGCACTATTATAAAGACGACTTTTAACGTATTGTTGTTGGCACTGTTATCGGTGGTGGGGGAACGATGTGACTATGTGTAACTATTATCTAAGCACTCTCTGGTAGGGAACCAAATTAGTCGTCGGACAGTTGACTTTGGAACTTTCGTATATCTATGGGTGAAGCATAACCCTTCACCCCCAGGCACTTCGCTAGACATGCAGTCCGTACCCCAGGACCGCATACAA